GGTGTGGCCACACCGCTTATCTATCATGGTTCCTCCCGCTCGGTGTCCTTTATTCTCTAGAATGTGATGAGAGGCTTAGATTCTTCAATGATCTCAACTTAGGAACACAACAACAAAGGAGATGATGGAGATAAGAGATTGGGTGAAGAAGAAGGCAAAATGGCTAGAGAGAGAATAATGGCAAGGCTCTCCCAGGGATCTCCCACTTTCACTCTCAAGGTTGATAATGGAGAAGGGAAATTAGTTCTTTCCCAAGAGTTAAAAATCTCCAAAATCCATCCCTTGTAAAGCTATGGGTGGGTGCTATTTATAGGCACCTCATGATGTAGGATGGAGCCCATGTGCAAGGCACATGGGGGATATTTTCTCTAACCACCTTGTCCGAGGGGGTGACCTCTCCGAGGAGGTGACTTCTCCGAGGATGAGAAAACCCCGAAGAGGAGATCACTCCCTCGGCGAACCCTTCTTCTTAGCCACACCTAACCAATGATCTCCAATCATCCCAAAGGGTCAGGGGTAGTCCCAGAGGACGTCCTGCCGCAAAATATTGCCGAGTCTCATGGACCCCCCGGGGTCGTGCCACCTCGACCCGGGTATAGGCTAGTTTAACCGAAGAGTGAATTTATCTCCACTCACCGTCTTCGGGATCGGGTCCTTTGTTCGGACTCCATTACGCCCATGGTTCTGGTGCGTAGATCCTGGAAAGCTCCGAGCCCGCAAGTGTTCTGGGACTCATTAACGGAGCGACTTCTAGATTGCGTCTGAATCCGTTCGAAGCCAAGTACTTCGGATCTCTAGATTCGTGGATCCGAATCCTTTCGAGTCCGAGTGCCTCGGATCTCTAGGCTTGCTTAATACCCTTTCGAGTCCGGGCCCGAGTAAGTCTCTAGGTTCGTGGATCCGAACCCTTTCGAGGCTTAGACCCATTTAGCCCGTTTGATGGTGATAAATTCGGGCCCATCAATCTTGGACTATTGGGCCTAATTAATTTAATGGGCTCAAATTAGCCCCTCTTACACACAGAAAGATAAAATATGCTAAAATAATTAATAAGACAAATTCTCACATCAAATCTATAATCATTTCATTTTTTCTCTCACAAACATTACATCTAATTACACAAAAATCCAATCATCTTTTCAAATATAAAAATTTTAGCCTACTAAAGTAGCCAAAAACTAAAATAACCTACCAAAATAGTAATTTCCCAAACACCCACTATATATATAGTTTCTTTTGAGAACAGATTATTTTAATAATTTTTAATTTTTTGAATAAAATATAATGTAGAAAAATTAGTATATTTAGAATGATTTTTTGGTTTTTACGAAAAAAATATATGAAAAATAGAGAGAAAATATAATATTTGATTTTTTGGTATAAGTTGTTGGCTTTTTAATTTTTTAGTAACATTTTAATTTTTAGGCTAAAATTGAATGTTGCCAAACGAGGACTAAGGCCAAGTTTGGCATGAGACAAAAAAGATAAAAAGTCAAAAAGTCACTATCCTATTTAAGTCACATCATCTTATTTAAGTCACATCACCTCTCTAACACATCACTTCAAACTCAACCCAAACCCAACCCATATTTCATAAAAAGTCAAAAAGTACACTTATTTAGTCTTTCCAAACTAGGCCTAAGTATATTTTTTAAATTAAATAATGTGTAAAACTATGGGTGAGCTGCAGATACATCGATCCGCCCAAACCAATCAAATCGAACCAATCCGCTGCATTTTGGACGGATGCGTAATGACAAGCGGACGGTTGCAGATTGATTTTTTCCAATCTGCCTAGTTTTGAAAAAATGGCAGATTTGAGAATCCTTTACCCTCAACCAAACTTCCAAACCGCGGGCAACCCTAATAATTTGTAAGACTTTATATTTTCAATTTATTTAGATATTATGTTTGTGTTTTCAATTGAAAAATAATTTAAATATTTTGTTAAATATATTCTGTTGAAAAAGAGTTTTCAATTTGAATATATTTTTTGAATTAAAAAAAATAAATGTATTATTTATCTATATTTTTTAGTTTTTAAATCTAACTCTAAAAATTATAAATAAAAAAGATGACATATGTTGGTTGATTTTTGTTTTCAAAAATAGATATAGATGTAACAATATAGAGGCATACAATCTCTATTACCGCTAGGGGTGTAAATCTAGCCCAGTCCGACCCGGGCTCGGGTCAGGTCGGGTCCATGTTGGGCCTCGCGGGCTCCCGCCAAAATTCGGGCTGAGCTGGGCCGACCCACGGGTTGAAAAAATTAAGCCCAGGGGTATTCGAGCCTTGGGTGGGCCAGTGGGCCATGCCTTGGGCCAGCCCAATGGGCTTGGGCTTGGCCTCGGACTTGGGCAGGCCTAACCATTTTTTTTTTGTTTTTTAAATTTTTTTTACCAAAAAATTTATTATTTTTCATTAAAAAATACATTGGGCCTTGGCGGGCCCGCGCGGGCTAGGCCCTAAGTTGGCCTTAAGCGGGCCGATGGGCGGGGCCAAATGAGTCGGGCCCATGGGCTGGGGCGGGCTTCAAAACAATGGCCTAGGCCCTAGCCCAAGGGCTCGGGCTAGGCTCAGGCCTGGGCCCAAGCGAGCCTAAACGAGCTGGGCCCATCTTGAGTTGCAGGCGGGTTTCGGGCCGCCCAACGGGCCGCAGGCCATTTTTATACCCCTAATCTGTTCATGATTTTGGTGATTAGAATAGTTTTTATATTTTAAGAATCACAAATTATAATACTTTATGTAGATGAGGCATGCAACGATTATAATATTCTAAAGTTTCAAAAAAAAAATTTTCCGGATGAGGCATCCAATGATTGTATTACTTTTTTTTTAAAGTCATTGACTGTAATAACTTTTTTTTTTTTTTTAAGGAAGTGCACAAGTTGAATTATGTTGAAAATTTATAAAATTTTAAACCACCAAATCGATTCGCATCCATCCGACAATCTGTCAATCTGTCAATTTTCTCAATCCATATTTGCTATATTGGCAGATGGATGTGTATTGATTTTCTCCAATCTACCAATCTGATGGACAGATGGCGGATTGAAGGTTCCGTGGCCGCAACCGACCCGCGACCACCCCTATGTAAAACAGTTAATTGATTAATAATTAGAGAAGATATAAAAAAGAATTACCTAACATATTCAATAATTGAAATCAATTGCATTATAATTAAATCATATTAAAAATTGATTTACTCATTGATAAATTAATAGTAAATTAGTAGTATTTAAAAATCAGAAATACTCCATCTCTCATTTCATCACCCTAGCTACATCTCTAATGAGGTGAGAAACAATACTAACCAATCAATTTTGTTCAAACTCTTTTTTCTCCTTTCAAGATTGTTTGCCAGTTCATTTAAAGTGTAATTGGAAGTAATGAAATCAGAGCATGTGGCAAAGCTCTTTAAAAACAAATAAAAATTCATGAAAAGTGTATTAATGATTTATTTTGAATGTGAACCTTGTCATAATTGAATTTAATGCCAACTATCTATTACATTTCAATAATACTATATTTATTATTATTTTTTTATATCACATTAATA